ATGACACACACACTGACACACACATGACACACACACACTGATACACACACATGACACACACACTGACACACACACACACATGACACACACACTGACACACACACATGACACACACACTGACACACACATGACACACACACTGACACACACACATGACACACACACACTGATACACACACATGACACACACACTGACACAACAACAACAACCGCCATTCGCCACTAAGTGGCGGTGACGTCACCACGACGCTTGTGCCAGGCTATGTGCACCCTGAGGCCACGTGAAGTGTCGAACGCCCGCTGGCAGGAGGTCACGGGGCAGACCCAGGTGCCACGGGTCGACTGACTGAGATGACTGGCTGATGCACCACCTGTGCCCCCTACTGTGCCAACCTGCTGTGCTTTAGCCACCCGGCGCTCCGCTCGCTGTTGTGAGCGTCGCTCCTCCGCCCTCCGTTGTTGTTGGAGGGCGACTGCCTCCAACTGCCCAGTAGCATCCTTCACGAGCCTCCTCCACAGAGGCCGATCTTGACACCGCTGGTACCAGTCATCGGCAAGTCCACTTAGCTCCACGTCCTCCTGTACCACATCACTCCATCTCTTCTCTAGCCCGTGCCGCGCCCGCTTAGCCCCCTCAATCCGGCCAAACAAAAGCTGTTTCGGCATGCGGTGGCTGGGCATGCGGGCTACATGACCCAGCCATCGCAGCCTTGCCTGCCGGAGGAGCTCACCGATGGGACCCTGCCCAGATCTTTCAAGGATTTGTGAGCTCCTCACACAATCCAGTCTGGTTAAACCCAGGATGGATCGTAGGCAGGTCAGCCTAAATGTTTCTAACCGGCGAAGATGTTCCATTAGGGGGGTCCACGTTTCGCAAGCGTAGAGAAGGGAGGGAATGACCGTGGCCGAGAAGACCTGAAGCTTAGTGCGGAGCGACAGACCAGGTAGCTTCCACACAGCGTTACGCAACCGATGAAAAGATATTGCCGCTCGACTGATTCGGAGTGAGACCTCTGCTGTTAAACTGGAGCCAGTCATAAGCACACTGCCCAGGTATGGGAAACTCTCCACTCTCTCCACAACTGCCCCATCACCGATTGGGAGTTGTGGGGGTGGAGTGTCCGATGGTACAAAATACCCAGGCAGGTGCTTAGTTTTGGTGGGGCTGATGGTAAGGCCCCACCTCTTAGTGGCACGCTCCAGTCTCAGCAGCAGCGTCTCCAACTCCTCCTCTGACTGAGCAGCTATTACCAAGTCATCAGCATACATAACGTGGTTGAGCAATAGGGAGCCATCCCTTGACCGCACCCGGGCATCGATTAGCCTCCCATTATATCTGTACCATATGGAGATTCCCCCGGTACAGCTATTGAAGGCTTCACGAACTACGTGGTCAAAATAGATGTTAAATAATGTGGGAGCCAGAGGACATCCCTGTCGCACCCCAAGGTGTACAGGGAATGGCTCTGACTCCCGGCCACGTAGTTTTACCCGGGCCCGCTCACCATCATGAAGGTCCTTAATGATCGTGAGCAGAGGGTCAGGTACTCCAAAAGCACGAAGAACGACCCAGAGCCCAGGCCTACTGATGGTATCATAGGCCTTGACCAGGTCAATAAAGCAGAGATGTAGGTCTTGTTGGAATTCCCTACACCTCTGCTGTAGCAGACGGACAGAAAATATGGCATCTGTGCAGGACCGCCCTTTCCTGAAACCGCATTGGGGCTCCGCAAGCCTCTCCTCAGCGTGCCTGGCAAGGCGATGCTGAATAATCCTTGCCAGAACCTTTCCCGGCACACTGAGGAGTGAGATGCCCCTGTAGTTGTTACAGTCTGTGCGGTCCCCCTTCTTAAAAAGGGGGACCACCAGGGCATCCTTCCAATCCTGCGGAACCCGTCCAGTGGTCCAGACTGTTGTTATGATGTCATATAGGGCAGTCTGTGCACAAACGCCACCCTCCCTCAGCATTTCGCTTGGGAGATCATCTCTGCCCGCTGCCTTTCCTGGTCTCAGACTCCGGATCGCCTTCAATACTTCCTCAGCAGATGGCACCTCAGCCAGCCACTCACAGGGGGTGACTTCATCCAATATTTGAGGCACCGCAGCCTCAGCAGGGTCATCCTCACTTTGTGCCACGATGTTTTCCTGGCTGTGGGATTTTCCCTCCCCCAGGACCTCACAGAAATGCTCAGCAAATCTGCGAACCTGTTCCTGGGGGTCGGAAATTGGATCACCGTTTTTTTCCCCTAATGATGGTAATAGGTGTGGCGCTGCAGGTTACTTTTTTGATGGAGTTAAATAGCGATTTGTGATCACGGGCCACTGAGGCAGACTCCATCTCCTCAGCAACCCGCGACCACCACCCATCCTTGCAGCGCCTCACGGCTCTCCGAACCTCCGAGCGAAGGCTGCGGTAAGCCTCCTCATTCTCTGACGTGGGATTCTGTAGCCGATGACAGTGGGCCTGTCGCTTTTTCTCAACCATCCTGAACAACTCCTCTGTCATCCAGGGTGTCTGGGGAGGTCTGGACCGCGTACCCAAAGCAGCCATTGCAGCTGCATGAGTCACAGTCCTAAACCTCGCCCATTTACCCTCGACATCAGTTGGAGTCGGGGACGATGCCAATCCCAGCCGCAAGCGATGATGAAATTCTCGCTTGCAACTTTCATCAGATAACTGAGACCAGGCCACTTTAGGTTGGAATGGGGTCCTGGGTGTACACCCACCACCGGAGTGGAAGAATGGCAGGCGCATCTTACAGATGACTAGTCGATGGTCAGAGGGCAGATCAGCTCCACGGTAGGTCCTGGTGTCAAGGACATGGGCTCGCATTCGCTGGTCCGTCACTATGTAGTCCAGCAGATGTTTTTGCTTGGACCCGGCATGCATCCATGATGTTGTGTGGATGCGCCGATGCCGGAACAGCGTGTTGGTAATTACAAGCCCATGGGCTGCACAAAAATCTAGCAGCCTCCTACCGTTGTTATTGAGCTGATCTGGCCCATGCCCTCCAATCACTCCAGACCAGGTGCCAGTATCATGACCAACTCGGGCATTGAAGTCACCCAACATGATGACTCTATCCCGAGGGGCCACTTTAGCCAGCACCTGTGACAGGAGGTCATAGAAGGCATCTGACTCATCGGCTTTGCCTGCATCCCTCCACGGATGTTCATCTTCGGTGGGGGCATAAGTAACCACGACCACCATTCCTCGCCTCCGGTTGATGGGAAGGCGAGCCCAAAGTAGCCTGGGGCTTACAGCTTCCCACACCTCACCGCCACGCTCCCACGCCCCCTTCATTCTTTTGTTCAAAAGAAGACCCACACCCTGTTGTTTGGCAGTCTGCTGCCCCGAGTAGAGGACTGTCCACCCCTCATGGTGGCAGGAGCCAGAGCCGGTCCACCGGACCTCCTGAATGCCGCATAGATCCAGGCGGTACCGGTCCAGCTCCCGACAGAGGAGTGGCAGCCTCTCCTCTGCAGTGAGCGTTCGAACATTCCACGTGGCCACCCGTAGTGGCTTTTCGTTGTTTCTGGAGTAGCCCCGAGGGTAGGTATTCAATCTCCTGGCTCCGCCAATTGGGGTTTGGCCAGGAGACGTCATAGACGCCTGGCCCCCCGGGGCCTCCGGCACAAGCTTAGTTGTTACATATTTCACTTTAATTCGTGGTTTTGTGGTAATTAATTGAAGGTGGAGGGGTTACCAGCCCCTCGCACCCGTCCAGAGCCCCCGTTTAGCCCCTGTGGTGGACACATATGCCATGAGGGGAGGAGCCAATCAAAATTGGAACTCCCCCCACAGCACTGTCCACGACAGAGTTGCCCGTCCGGCACCGCGAGGAGGTAGGGGGTTGTTTTGCCGGACACTGACACACACACTGACACACACACATGACACACACACTGACACACACACATGACACACACACTGACACACACATGACACACACACTGACACACACACATGACACACATGACACACACACATGACACACACACTGACACACACACACACACTGACACACACACACTGACACACACACACTGACACACACACATGACACACACACTGACACACACACACATGACACACACACTGACACACACACATGATACACACACTGACACACACACTGACACACACACATTGACACATACACACACTGACACACACAGATGACACACACACATGACACACACACACATGACACACACACACATGACACACACACACATGACACACACACACATGACACACACACACAGTGGGGGGGTTCACAGAAAGGCGCCCGAGTTGGGAATCGAACCCAGGGGCCCCTTCTTACTGCCAGGCTGGCGTGGTGCCACTGCGCAGATGATGATGATGGCGATGATGATTGCGATGATGATGACTGCGATGATGATGGCGATGATGATTACGATGATGATGGCGATGATGGCAATGATGATGATTACGATGATGATGGCGATGATGATGGCGATGATTACGATGATGATGGCGATAATGATTACGATGATGGCAATGATGATGATTACGATGATGGCGATGATCATGGCGATGATGATGATTACGATGATGACGATTACGATGATGGCAATGATGATGATTACGATGAAAAAAAAGAGAGAGACACGGCGAGTGACAGACACAGTGAACGTCTCTCTTGTTGTGTGTGTCGGGGTGGAGCGGAGCTCCCTACAATCACCCACCCCCTTCACCACCCCTCCCCCCACCCCCTCACCGCCCCTCCCCCCACCCCCTCACCACCCCACCCCCTCACCACCCATCCACCCACCCCACCCCCTCACCACCCCTGCCCCCACCCCCTCACCGCCCCTCCCCCCACTCCCTCACCACCCCTCCTCCCAGCCAACCCCCTCACCACCCATTCACCCCTCCCCTCACCACCCCCCACCTCCCCCCACCCAATCCCCCCACCCCTCCCCTCACCACTCCTCCCCCCACCAACCCCCCTCCCCCCACCCCACCCCCTCACCACCCCACCGCCCCACGTCACCGAGGCAGCGGCTTTAGCGGTCGTGTTACGGTCGCCATGGCAACGTGATCCACTTAGCTCAGCGTTGGCGGCGGCGATGGCGACGACGACCACGATGACGACGATGATGATGGTGGTGGTGGCGATGTTATCCGCTCTCCTTCGCTCGCGCGCGTCTCCCCCGGCGCAGGCGACATGAAGAAGCGCGGAGCCACCAACACCACCAATAACCCCACCACCAACAACAACACCACCATCAACAACAACAACGGTGGTGGCCTCGGGACCGCCGGGCCCACCTCGAGCAAGCGAGGTCGCGGCCACGGCCTCGCGCCGGCCACGCCGCGCCTCGACCACGGCCACACCGCGGCCGCCGCGGTGTGGCCGGCGGCGCCCGTGGGCGACTCCGCTCACCAGCCGGAGGCCCGCCTCAACGCCAGGGTCGCCGCGCTCTTACACGTCCCCGCCGCCTCCACGTCGTCATCCTCCTCTTCCAGGTCGTCGTCCATCACGCAGCTCAACAACGGCGACAAGAAGGGCCAAGACGTCCTGAGCCATCACGGCCTGGGTCAACAGGGCCTGGGCCAAGACGGCCAGGGTCAACAGGGTCAACAGGGCCATCACGGCCAGGGTCAACAGGGCCAGGATCAACAGGGTCAACAGGGCCTGGGCCAAGACGGCCAGGGTCAACAGGGTCAACAGGGCCATCACGGCCAGGGTCAACAGGGTCAACAGGGCCTGGGCCAAGACGGACTGGGCCAAGACGGCCAAGACGTCCTGAGCCATCACGGCCAGGGCCAAGACGGCCAGGGTCAACAGGGCCAAGACGGCGACGTCGCCTCCTCCTCCTCCGCGTGCTCGTCTCGGGGGGGCCCCTGCGGCCCCCACTGCGGCTTCCCGGGCCCCTGCCTGGGCGAGGCCGCCCCGGACTGGGGCCGGCTGCCTGCCGAGCTGCTGCTGCACGTGTTCACCTGGCTGCCGCTGGTGCAGCGGGCACGCGCATGCCAGGTGTGCCGCTCGTGGAACCAGGTGAGTGGCGGCGAGATGTTAACTACCTCGCCTGGTATGCAGGAGGTCGCGGGTTCCACCCAGACCCTGACGATGCCTGCCTGCCTGCTGTATATTTGGAGTTTGCGTGTCTCTCTCTCTGTGGTGAGATGTTAACTACCTCGCCTGGTCTGCAGGAGGTCGCGGGTTCCACCCAAACCCTGACGATGCCTGCCTGCCTGCTGTATATTTGGAGTTTGCGTGTCTCTCTCTCTCTGTGGTGAGATGTTAACTACCTCGCCTGGTATGCAGGAGGTCGCGGGTTCCACCCCGACCCTGACGATGCCTGCCTGCCTGCTGTATATTTGGAGTTTGCGTGTCTCTCTCTCTCTCTGTGGTGAGATGTTAACTACTTCGCCTGGTATGCAGGAGGTCGTGGGTTCCACCCAGACCCTGACGATGCCTGCCTGCTGTATATTTGGAGTTTGCGTGTCTCTCTCTCTCTGTGGTGAGACGTTAACTACCTCGGCTGGTCTGCAGGAGGTCGTGGGTTCCACCCAGACCCTGACGATGCCTGCCTGCCTGCTGTATATTTGGAGTTTGCGTGTCTCTCATCATCATCATCACAGTGGCTCAGAGATGTTAACTACCTCGCCTGGGATACAGGAGGTCGGAGGTTCCGACCCTGACGATGCTTGCCTGCTGTATATTTGGAGTTTGCGTGTCTCATCATCATTACAGTGGCTTAGAGATGTTAACTACCTCGCCTGGTATACAGGAGGTCATAGGTTCGACCCCGACCCTGACGATGCCTGCTCCTGTTTGCGTTGATTTTTCTCCGGGTCATCTGGTTTTCCTCTCCACATTTAGAAACAACAACGTGCCTTTAGAGGATTTGGCTGCTGCTATAAATCTCTACACGATGAGCCACTTCGTTGCGCTAGCATTTGTGGCCAGGTCGCTTCTGAATTAATCTACATAGCCTAGTGGGCATTACCTGGTTCAATAAAAAATAGTTTAGTTTAGTAGTTGAGTGCCTGCTCCTACCACTCACCCTTTTTTCATTGGCGTTTTTTTATTTTACTTGACTAGGTAAGGCTCACTGAGCTACTACGTAGCTTTTTTTTCCAGAAGTGACCTGGCTATCACGAATGACAGGTCAACCGAGTGACTTATCATCATCATCATCACGTGGAAATTTAGAGCAGCAGTCAAATTACTCTTAAACGCACACCTGAGCCGAGCCAGCACGGCATGCGTGCATTATTCCACGAGAAAGGATTTTGTGTTAGGTCGCGAAAATTAACCCACCGCCACGCGAGTAAGGTTTGATCACGTGAACAAAAACGTGCCAATTAGCTGTTACTTACGTGACGGCGAGTAAAACCCGCAAAATTTAATATTGGTCTCAAAAGCCTACGTGCGTTTTTCCACTCGCCGTTTGCCGAGCCGGGCCGGAGCCCAACCGTGATGTCACCGCCGCCGATCTCGCAATGCCTCTGAATCTGGCTCGGGGCCAAGCAGAGCCAGGGTGCGGGGCTAACGGCGACGCGTTCGCCACGCGCGTGATGTCAGCCGGTGCGCCGCGAGGACGCGGAATGTCCGCGTCACCGACGAGCATTTTCCGCTCGCTCGCAATCCCGCGTGACGTCGGTCAGTACTGGACTGTACACGACCTGAACGCATCTACGGCCGTTTATTGCCCGCGACGTCAGTGGCACGGCTCGGCTCGGCTTCTGCAGTGGAAAAACAACCCCTTCTTCCTGAGCCGTGCCCCACCCCGCCCCCCCCCCATTTGCAGGCGTTCCACCGGCCGGAGCTGTGGCGTCGTTTCGAGTTTGAGCTGAGCCAGCCGGCGTCGTCCTACCTCCGTGCCACGCATCCCGACCTCATCCAGCAGATCATCGCGCGCCACTCGACGCACCTGCAGTACGTCAGCGTCAAGGTGAGCAGAGGCGTGCGCCACTCGACGCACCAGCGGTACGTCAGCGTCAAGGTGATCAACAACGCTGACGTCTGGATGGAGTTCCAGACCCAACTTTATAGCGGGGGGCAGCAGCACAGGTGTTGGTTGGGGGGGGGCATACAGTGAGGGAAAAAAGTATTTGATCCCCTGCTGATTTTGTACGTTTGCCCACTGACAAAGAAATGATCAGTCTATAATTTTAATGGTAGTTTTATTTGAACAGTGAGAGACAGAATAACAACAAAATTCGGAAAAACACATGTCAAAAATGTTATAAATTGATTTGCATTTTAATGAGGGAAATAAGTATTTGACCCCTCTGCAAAACATGACTTAGTACTTGGTGGCAAAACCCTTGTTGGCAATCACAGAGGTCAGACGTTTCTTGTAGTTGGCCACCAGGTTTGCACACATCTCAGGAGGGATTTTGTCCCACTCCTCTTTGCAGATCTTCTCCAAGTCATTAAGGTTTTGAGGCTGACGTTTGGCAACGCGAACTTTCAGCTCCCTACACAGATTTTCTATGGGATTAAGGTCTGGAGACTGGCTAGGCTACTCCAGGACCTTAATGTGCTTCTTCTTGAGCCACTCCTTTGTTGCCTTGGCCGTGTGTTTTGGGTCATCCACGACCCATTTTCAATGCCCTGGCTGAGGGAAGGAGGTTCTCACCCAAGATTTGACGGTACATGGCCCCGTCCATCGTCCCTTTGATGCGGTGAAGTTGTCCTGTCCCCTTAGCAGAAAAACACCCCCAAAGCATAATGTTTCCACCTCCATGTTTGACGGTGGGGATGGTGCTCTTGGAGTCATAGGCAGCATTCCTCCTCCTTCAAACACGGCGACTTGAGTTGATGCCAAAGAGCTAAATTTTGGCCTCATCTGAACACAACACTTTCACCCAGTTGTCCTCTGAATCATTCAAATGTTCATTGGCAAACTTCAGACGGGCATGTATATGTGCTTTCTTGAGCAGGGGGACCTTGCGGGCGCTGCAGGATTTCAGTCCTTCACTGCGTAGTGTGTTACCAATTGTTTTCTTGGTGACTATGGTCCCAGCTGCCTTGAGATCATTGACAAGATCTTCCCGTGTAGTTCTGGGCTGATTCCTCACCGTTCTCATGATCATTGCAACTCCACGAGGTGAGATCTTGTATGGAGACCCCAGGCCGAGGGAGATTGACAGTTCTTTTGTGTTTCTTCCATTTGCGAATAATCGCACCCACTGTTGTCACCTTCTCACCAAGCTGCTTGGCAATGGTCTTGTAGTCCATTCCAGCCTTGTGTAGGTCTACACTCTTGTCCTTGACATCCTTGAAGAGCTCTTTGGCCTTGGCCATGGTGGAGACTTTGGAATCTGATTGATTGCTTCTGTGGACAGGTGTTTTTATACAGGTAACAAGCTGAGATTAGGAGCACTCCCTTTAAGAGTGTGCTCCTAATCTCATCTCGTTACCTGTATAAAAGACACCTGGGAGCCAGAAATCTTTGTGATTGAGAGGGGGTCAAATACTTATTTCCCTCATTAAAATGCAAATCAATTTAAAACATTTTTGACATGCGTTTTTCTGGATTTTGTTGTTGTTATTCTGTCTCTCACTGTTCAAATAAACCTACCATTAAAATTATAGACTGATCATTTCTTTGTCAGTGGGCAAACGTGCAAAATCAGCAGGGGATCAAATATTTTTTTCCCTCACTGTACCTGGTCGTTGGTGAATGAGGCTGCCGAGGAGGGGTGCCCCCCATGAGTAGCAATGTTGCTGCCGTGTGCCATCCCAATATTGAGCGATTCGCAATGTCATTTCTCAGCGTTTGGATGTTTGCCAACAAACAAAAATATTACTTAATGTTATTACTTGTTGAATTATTAGCTTTGAATATAAAGTCCCTTGAGATGGAACATCTCGCTTGCAAGGGTGACCGGGGTGTGGACTGCCACATAGATAGCAACCATGAAATGATACGTACACACGGATATATATACACACACACATACACACTCAGACATAAAGATCCCCTGTGAAGCCTTTAACAGACTGTTGGGGCAAGGGCTGTTCGCGAGTAGCACCGATGAAGGCCGACACAGCATAGGATGGGGTGGTGTAGCCGCCAACACCGTGCTCTGCCGCCTTTGTCTCCCCGTGCCGAAGTTTTAAACACCGCATCGGGTACTCATTTAATAGGGGTCACCCGTTTAATATAATCGCCAGTGATGTTGGTGTTCAGCGGGAATTGAACTCAGGTCTCCGAGTTCAATTCTTGCTCGGGTCGCCGGGTCCCCGCACAGGTGCTCGCTAAACTGCACCCGCCCCGACGGGCTGTGTAGACTACATGGGGATCTTTACCTTTGCCTTTGTCACAGGTGGACAGCAGCAAGGAGTCCGCGGAGGCGGCGTGCAATATCCTGTCGCAGCTCGTCAACTGCTCGCTCAAGACGCTGGGCCTCATCTCCACGGCACGGCCGAGCTTCCTCGACGTGTCCAAGGTTTAGTGGGGCTCGGGACACTTGGCGCAGAGGTTCGGGGTTCGAACCTGGCGGCCGCCCTGGTTAATGCATCGGGCGTCCATCACCACCACCACCACCGACAGCATAACCACACCCGGCACGTCTAAACCAATGAACTTGTTACGTGGTGCACGAGGTTTTAACAAAGCACCGGTTGTTACGATCGTTTTTCGCACAGCTCGCTGTGGATGGTGAGTTAGAGAACGATTCTCACAGCCAGATTTATCAACACTCTCTCGTGCACTCAACCCCACTCGCCAAATCACTCGCCGCGGCAGATTTCGAGAATAACTCTCCCGCAGCAAATGTGTGGACGCCACTTGCTCCATCTGTATGAGCATTTTCCTCCCACACGTAAACACCCATCAATTGGCCGATAAGATCTTAATAGAGGACTGCAGAGCTTGGGCGATTGTTGGTACCACCGGCTCACTGCCTGGCTGCTGCCTTTCCCACTTGTCTGTGATTTCTCCTCGCGCCTCGCAGTCATCCCTCTCGAGGGGATGCTGTTCTGGTTGTCGATCTGCGGCCACGTTTGTGGCACTAAAGTCACGCTGCACGTATTTTGATTCCACGTTTTTGTTACCTGAACTCAACAGGGAAGTTCAACCTCTGTAGGCCCTGGCCCTTTCTGTTTATGCCCCACCCCATTACTCCTGAGGCCCCACCCCTTCCTGTTTATGCCCCACCCCGTTACTCCTTAGGCCCCACCTCTTCCAGAGTAGGCCCCACCCCTCTCATCTCTGCCTTTCCCTTTTAGAACCCTCCCCCTTCTTCTTTGTGCCCCGCCTTTTCCTGTTTAGGCCCCGCCCCTTCCTCTTCCTCCTACGGACACGTGGTTGGGCTTGTTTAGGGTATTGGCGGCGAAGGTTGTGCATGTGTACGTGTGTCAAACTTCTTTCGGGGACGCGACTGGCACATTGGCGGCGATGTTTACGCCGCCAATGTGCCACCGTCGGGCAGCGTCGCCCGCGAGGGCAGACGCGTGGCAACGGGGACGCGCGTCGACCGCCGCTCGTCTCCTCCACCGCCCCAACCCTCCCTCCCCCCCCCCCCCCCCCCCCCCCCCCCCCGCGACCGCATGCGCCCACCAGGCTTACTTCGTGTCGGCCCTCACCGTGGTGTTCGTCAACTCCAAGTCGCTGTGCTCGCTCAAGGTGGACGACACGCCGGTGGACGACCCCTCCCTCAAGGTGCTCGTGGCCAACAACAGCGAGACGCTCAAGCTGCTCAAGATGAGCAGCTGCCCGCACGTGTCGCCCTCTGGTGAGTGACGCCACCTACCGCGACGCTCTGCGCGCGCCTACTCCTATCTGATATTTACACTGAGGAGCGGCAGTACCTCCTGCTCCTGTGACTTATCTCTGTGTTATCGCCTGCCCCATGTGAAACCTTCACGGTATCGCCTGCCCGACGTGAAACCTCTACGGCATTGTGAGCCCTATGTGATATTACCATTTAGGAGCGGCAGCATTGCCAGCCCTGCGTGATATCACCGATTGAGGATCTGCGACATTGCCAGCCAGGTGTGATATCCCCCCCCCCGCCGCCCTTTTCCCAGGTATCCTGTGCGTGGCCGACCAGTGCCACGGGCTGCGCGAGCTGGCTCTCAACTACCACGTGCTGAGCGACGCGCTACTGCTGGCGCTGTCGTCCGAGCGCCACGTCCACCTGGAGCACCTGCGCGTGGACGTGGTGAGCGCCGAGCCGGCGACGTTGGGACCCGCGTCGCGGCGCTTCCACTCCATCCGCCGCTCCAGCTGGGACGCGCTGCTCACCCACTCCCCCCACGTCAACCTCGTCATGTACTTCTTCGTGGGCGACGAGGAGGAGTTCGAGCCGTTCTTCCGCGACGCCACCCCCGTCACGCACCTCTACTTCGGCCGCTCGGTGAGCAAGGCCGTGCTGGGCCGCGTGGGCCTGCACTGCCCGCGCCTCGTCGAGCTGGTGGTGTGCGCCAACGGCCTGCAGCCCCTGGACGAGGAGCTGCTGCGCATCGCCGAGCGCTGCGGCAGCCTCTCGGCGATCGGGCTGGGCGAGTGCGAGGTGTCGTGCTCCGCGTTCGTGCAGTTCGTGCGGATGTGCGGCGCCCGCCTGGCGCAGCTCTCCATCATGGAGGAGGTGCTGGTGCCCGACCAGCGCTACGGCAGCCTCGACGAGGTGCACGGCGACGTGTCGCGCCTGCTCGGGCGCGCCTGGTACCCCGACAGCATGCCCACGTGGTGACGACGGCGGCGGTGGCGATGGGGAGAGGCGGTGGCCAGGCGGTGGTGGTGACGGGGAGGCGGTGGCCAAGAGGTGGTTGTGATGGAGACACCTGGACTGTGGTGGAGGGGGAGGTGCTGATTGAAGGTCGAGGAGTTAGTGAAAGGAAGAGAGGACGAGAAGGGTGATTACGGTGACCATGAACCGGAGGGAGGGAACCTTGTACCCCTACAGCGTATCCACGTGGTGACGACAGCAAAGAGGTGGTGATGGAAGAGTTGAGGGGTGAGAGGAGGTGGTGGTGGTGATGGCGGTGGTGAGGAGGGCTGGGAGGATAGGACTTGGAGGAGGAGTGAGAGGAGGGAGGATCTGGTGGAGTGGGAATGAAGGAGTGGGGAGGATGACTACCTCATCTGGATTTGTTTGAGGCTCTGAGTGACTGAGAAGAGCTCCTGTGAAGAGAACTAAAGAAAACTGTGAAGAGCTGACTGTGAATATGGGAGTTGCTGTGAAGAGCTGACTGGGAAGAGGTGACTGAATAGCAACCATGGAAGTTGTGATAGAGTGGGTGAGTGAATAGATGGGTGAGTGAATGAGTGATTAGGTGAGTTGGTAAATGAGTGATTTTATGAGCGGCTGAATGATTGGGTGAGTGAGTGCATCAGTCAGGGGTCAAGTGAGCGCATGAGCGGGTGAGCGGAGGGATGAGTGGGTGAGTGTGTGAGTGAATGAGTGATTTGGTGAGTGGGTGAATGAGTTGTTTGGTAAGTGGGTGAATGAGTGGGAGAGTGAGCGGATGAGTGAACGACTCAGTGGGTGAGTGATTGGGTGAGTGAATGATCGATCGGGTGAGTGAGCTGTTGTGACCAGCACTGTGGTGGTGGTTGATGAGAGGACGCAGTATCTGTGTGGTTGGGAGTCACTCTGGGTTCCAAGTCTATACACAATGCTTGGTGACACTGACGCTCTGCCCACGCAGTCTTGTTAGGGCAAGCGCTGTTAGCGAGTAGCACCGATGAAGGCCGGCACGGTACACCTCTGGTGTGGCCAGCACCACTTTTGTCTCCCAAGTTGCTGATATTCTATAAACTGTGCCACGTACTCACTCATTCAAGGCTGAGCCGACCTAGGGTAGGTCCATAACGCTTTCATATATTCGCCGTTGAGTTTAGCCACGAGCTAACACACACACCGCACTCTGGATTTTAGCGGTGACTAGTCAGACCACTGAGATGACTTGCCGTACTGCCCTATGAAGTGTATAATAGGCGGCGTTTCAGGCAATGCCCCTCTCTCATAGCACAGAGAAGTCGGAGATGTAGAGACAGGGAGGTCGTGCAGTGGAGACAGAGCAATCCACTTTCTCTGCCCCCTCTCTGTGCTATGAAGAAGGCCCATTGTCCGAAACGTCGCCCATTATCAATGTCTTCTTCGTCTTCGTGTGGCTGATTTCGTTATTGAGCAAAAGCTGTGATTCTTACATTGAGGTGGCTGATGAGCCGCGTGATTCCGTCAGGAAGGAGTGGAGTAGTGCATCACAGACAGATGTGATGCACTACTGCACTCCTTCCTTTGTATAGAGATCCCTATGTGAATCTATAGATCTCTGTGTGAGTATGGATCCCTGTGAGACTATGGGTCTGTATGTGAATCTATAGATCTCTGTGTGAGTATGGATCTCTGTGAGACTATGGGTCTGTATGTGAATCTATAGATCTCTGTGTGAGTATGGATCTCTGTGGGACTATGGGTCTGTATGTGAATCTATAGATCTGTGTGAGTATGGATCTCTGTGAGACTATGGGTCTGTATGTGAATCTATAGATCTCTGTGTGAGTATGGAACTCTGTGTGACTATGGGTCTGTATGTGAATCTATAGATCTCTGTGTGAGTATGGATCTCTGTGAGACTATGGGTCTGTATGTGAATCTATAGATCTCTGTGTGAGTATGGAACTCTGTGTGACTATGGGTCTGTATGTGAATCTATAGATCTCTGTGTGAGTATGGAACTCTGTGAGACTATGGGTCTGTATCTGAATCTAGATCTCCGTGTGAGTCTATGGGCCTGTAACTGAATCTATAGGTCTCTGTGCAACTCTATGGATCTCTGTGAGTCTATGAGTCTGTATCTGTATATCTCTATGTGAACCTATGGGTCTCTGTGTGAGTCTATGGGTCTGTAGCTGTAGATCTCTGTGTGAACCTATGGGTCTCTGTGTGAGTCTATGGGTCTGTAGCTGTAGATCTCTGTGCAACTCTATGGATCTCTGTGAGTCTATGGGTCTGTAGCTGTAGATCTCTGTGCAACTCTATGGATCTCTGTGTGAGTCTATGGGTCTGTAGCTGTAGATCTCTGTGTGAACCTATGGGTCTCTGTGTGAGTCTATGGGTCTGTAGCTGTAGATCTCTGTGCTACTCTATGGATCTCTGTGAGTCTATGGGTCTGTAGCTGTAGATCTCTGTGCAACTCTATGGATCTCTGTGTGAGTCTATGGGTCTGTAGCTGTAGATCTCTGTGCAACTCTATGGATCTCTGTGAGTCTATGGGTCTGTAGCTGTAGATCTCTGTGCAACTCTATGGATCTCTGTGTGAGTCTATGGGTCTGTAGCTGTAGATCTCTGTGCAACTCTATGGATCTCTGTGAGTCTATGGGTCTGTAGCTGTAGATCTCTGTGCTACTCTATGGATCTCTGTGAGTCTATGGGTCTGTAGCTGTAGATCTCTGTGCTACTCTTTGGATCTCTGTGAGTCTATGGGTCTGTAGCTGTAGATCTCTGTGCAACTCTTTGGATCTCTGTGAGTCTATGGGTCTGTAGCTGTAGATCTCTGTGCTACTCTTTGGATCTCTGTGAGTCTATGGGTCTGTAGCTGTAGATCTCCGTGTGAACCTATGGGTCTCTGTGTAAGTCTATGGGTCTGTAGCTGTAGATCTCCGTGTGAACCTATGGGTCTCTGTGTAAGTCTATGGGTCTGTAGCTGTAGATCTCTGTGTGAACCTATGGGTCTCTGTGTAAGTCTATACCATCCATGTATTCCTTTTCATGTGCGTGATGTTGATGTGGAGAGCAGCAGCTGTGATTCTACATCGAGGATGATTGCGTCAAGGAGGAGTAGCGGAGTGGCATTATCATCGCTGCTGTGATGATGATGCCCTCCCCCCCTTCGTATTTGTGGATCGAGCAATTGAGTCAACGTTACACGCTTCACGCTCTTTTTACCTCTTAAGGCCACACACACAGAGAGAGAGAGATGTTGGTGGTGGTGGTGGTGTTGTTGTTTGTGCAACCACTGCCAAAGCAGCACCACCGCCAAGTAAATTCGCCTGTGATCGCAACACAGCAACGGAGGTCAGAATGTAACGAAGTAAATTAGTATCCTGCAACGTCCCTTTGTGTCGCAAGCGCCACCAAACACTATTCCCTCGCTCTCGTAGGGAGAGAGGGCGACTCCGAGGCGCCATGAGGAGGAGGAACCACGGACGAGGTACGGGAAGGCGGCAGCAGCAGCAGCAGCAGCCGCGCGGCGGTGAGGAGCCGGCACTGCCAACAATTGGCCAAGCTCTGCGGCCCTCGATGTTGTAAGAGGCGCTATCGGGCAATTATTGAGCGTTTATACACACGTGGGAGGAAAACCACGCGTGAGAGGGGGAAACACTCTATCCCGTACAGACAGAACCAGGGAAAACCCACGCGTGAGAGGGGGAAACACTCTATCCCGTACAGACAGAACCAGGGAAAACCCACGCGTGAGAGGGGGAAACACTCTATCCCGTACAGACAAAACCATAAAAAACCCACGCGTGAGAGGGGGAAACACTCTATCCCGTACAGACAGAACCAGGGAAACCACACGCGTGAGAGGGGGAAACACTCTATCCCGTACAGACAGAACCAGGGAAAATCACGCGTGAGAGGGGGAAACACTCTATCCCGTACAGACAGAACCAGGGAAAAACCACGCGTGAGAGGGGGAAACACTCTATCCCGTACAGACAGAACCAGATAAAACCCACGTGTGAGAGGTGGAAACACTCTATCCCGTACAGACAGAACCAGATAAAACCCACGCGTGAGAGGGGGAAACACTCTATCCCCCATACAGATGGAACATATTGAGATAGGTACGCACTTTACCGTTACCATCTTCTCCTGTCGGAGCCAGGGTACCGCTTTCCTCCCTGACTCCCGTCCAAGGCAGAGGTAGTATGGAACGGAGAGAGATGAGTCCACACTTTGCCGTGCCGACTTCTCCCGGCGAGACAGGGTTACGGGCTCTCGACCTCCACCCGCGGAGGGAAGGGAGTTTGGCACATCATGATCTGTGCGTGATCCACCAACCCACGCTGCTGCTGCAGCCTCCACTGCGCTGGGCAGCCACGTGCTGTCGCCCAAGTGAGGAAGGCCCAGGGGGTTAGGACGTGAACGCTCGACTCGTTGCTGTGCAGGTCAAGATGACTGCCTCGTGTGATGGCCGTGGTCGTAATTTTCCTTTGCGTTATTGAAGTTCTAACGATCAGTCGTCCGTAGTGTTGTCAGTCGTCACCATGTTTTGCTATTACGTCCTATCTGTGATGAACGTCCTCAACGTTAGTCGTCACGTGGCTACGAGTAGCAGCTCCAGTACTGTGACCCCCCCTCCCTCTCCCCAACACACCGTGCTGGATTAAAGTTGATTTTCATAACGCGCGCGTGCGCGTGATTGTGCGCGCGAGTGGGTGGGTGGACGAGTGAGGGGGTGAGTGAGGGAATGAGTGAATCGGCGATTTGGCGATGCCGAGGAAGCGATGCCGAGGAAGCGATCGTTTCCACACTGAACTCGCGCGCACACACACCACGCCGCTCTTCAGAATCGGGGGGAGAACGAGCCCAACGCACGCACATTGACAACTGCCATTCGCCACGAATTGGCAGTGACGTGACCGTGGTGCTTGTGCCAGGCTAGGTGTACCTTGAGGCCACGTGGGAGTGTCGACGACTCTTGCTGCTGGCAGGAAGGAGGCTATGGGACAGATTCAGGTGCCATGTGTTGACTGAGGCTGCTCTGCTCGTTCGTTGCGAGCGTCACTCCTCCACCCGCCACTATTGTTGGAGGGCGACTGGCACCAACTGCTCAGCAGCTTCCTTCGCTGAGCCTTCTCCAGAGGGCGATCTTGACACCGCCGTGGGCGAGCCCGCTCAATCACAGATCCTCATGTTCCGCATCAGCCCATCTCTTCTCCAGCCTGGGCCGCACCCCTTTGGCCCCCTGTCGGAGGCTGCCCGGGGGCATGAGGTGGCTGGGGCATGCGGGCAACATACACGACCTTCACGTGTCAGCCACCACCACGCACACACTTTGTGCCACTGTAAATCAGCGATGAGCCGAACCCGACAATTTACGACGATAATGAGCCAAGAATGTCTGTGCATCCCGCGTGTGACGATGTCACTCCACGTCGACCAGCCCCCCTCATTAATACTCGTGAACAGGTGACATCACTCCACATCGAACGGCCCCCCTCATTAATAATCATGACCAGGTGACGTCTTCCAAATGGACACCCCCCCCAATTAATATTAATTAGCGGGTGACGTCACTCCACATGGGGGGGGGGGGGGCGAGGCGCCTCCTCCCCCCTCCTCGTCGTTAACCCTCACTACAAAGGCCAAACCCTCACGTCACGTGATCTCCGTAACGCTGTTGTTGAGACATCAAAGTAAAAGGGACGTCGTGATGAACAAGGGATTATAACCTTTACATGAAATAGGTCTGTGTCACCGCGGCCTTACAGATTGCACACGAATTGATGCAATTTTTTTTACTGAAGTGGGGGAGAAGCCAGAGTTAGGGCAGTTAAATAACTCACAAAACGGAGGGGGCGAATGAAGTAAAAAAAAATATTGCTGTGGTTGTCACACCTGATGATGATTGCTTGTGTTGCAATCGGAACGTCGTGATTTATTTTTATTATTATTATTATTTTTCCGACCTACGTGACTTTACCGAAAGAACCAAAGAATATGGATCATTGCAGTCACGGAAACTTCAAATCGAGAATGATTCAACGCTCCATCCCTCCCGGTAGACGCCCTCCCAGAAGTGCTCCATTCCGTGGCTGCCACCATTCTTGACTGTCTTGCATGATCCCTTCGAGCGAGGAGTCGACCGGCCCAAGCTCGTCCACTGTCTTGGGGCAGTTCGAATGATGTAATTGCATAGGTCATGTTAAACCTGAACTGATGCTGCAGCTGCTGCTGCTACTGCGTAACTTTTAAACCAGAGGTCACTGGTTCGATTCCATCTCCCGTTGCGGTAGTTGTGAAACAACGGGGGAAGCTTCTTAAATCGGCGGCCCAGTGGTGTACGTCACGGGTGGTTCATGGGCAGGTCTGTTCAGGCGGGGAGAGCAACGCGATTGAGCTCTGGTTAATTGACGTCGCCAGGTGTGTCTCTATGTTCCACACAAATGCTCACAAAATATGCGTTTCTTTCACAAGGGGGCAATGCAGCCTCTCCAATGCCACCCAAGAGTGGCGAGCGGCCAACCATCCGGACTCGCTGACCGCGTACGATCTTCTGCACCCCGTGACCAGATGGTGAACAACGTCACCGACAATAGCTGTGAGGCTCCTGGACATGTTGGCCGAGGGGACCCCCCCCCCCCTATACGGCAGCAGGAGGTTGCATTGAGAGTGCCCGCCCGACAAACACTGGAGTGGCG